CCAAAGAGAGAGATTTGATGAAACTGCCGTGTCTTGAATTACTTGTTATCACGTTGATATTTGATTTTGTTGCCTTCGGTGTTCTTGGTTCATATTTTAAAATGCTAAATCGTAGTTGCTAATAAAACTTGGAATTTTTCTACGTCTTTTACATCTACGCTGCGTAACAGTTCTGGACTGCTTAAAGAGAAATGTCTCGTGGGATGCAAATTATTTTCCCATCATCCGACACGGGAGGAGAAATTTTCAAAGCTGCGATTTTTCGTGCTGCGTAGCTCCTCGCATTGTTCCGCTTAGAAGTACGGTAATACCCGCTATTAATGAAATTCTAAAATTCATTTGCTGTTTCCTTTCCCCAGTAACTGGTCTAGGAACCTTAACTACAATTTCTTCAAACGAATTTGGCAATGGGCATAACGTTCTTAACCACGCCTTGCAATTGCCCTTCTAGCGCTTGATGCAATATAATGCCTTGTGTGCTTCGTTGGACTTTGAAAGTATGAAAAGTCTTGTAATTGCTTTAAATGAAAGCATTCGGATTTTCATTTGGATTTCTGAGAACTGAGTGATGTCGGCACATTGATATTGCTCCTGGCATGGCTCCCACCGCCTTCTATCGTTATTTCTGCTATTTCCGGCAGTTCCTGAATCTTACGTTCTTGTTCTTCCAGTTTTCTTGTTTACTTGCGCCTCGACTTAGTCGCTTTCGCATATGCACTGATTTCGGTAACTTGCGCGAACTTCTTGGAACTTCATTCTGTATTTGCCAAAACGTGCTCTATTCTCTTCATCCTTCTTTTCGATTTCGTAGATATTGAGAATCATCTTCGCCCCGACCTTCTGCATGCTTCTCAATTAACTGAGTGCATGTTGCTACTTGCACAGCGATCTCTCCCGAAGTTCGTCTGCATTTAACAATCTTCTTGACCATCATAGCTGCTGGAGACTGCTCGAATTTTCATTTTGAAAACCTTTGTCTGGTGTCAATTTTCTTCGGTAATTTTTGCACTTGCTCTCTGATTTTGCGATTGTTCTTTGAATTTTTGCTGCTAATTTTTTGCGACTGTTCTTTAGTTTCTGCTGGCTATTTTTGCGACTGGTTCTTTTGGTTTCCTCGGATAATTTCGAACCTTGATTTTCTACTTGTGCGTGGGTTCGCGAAAATCCCTAATACGCCTGCATTAATGTCCTCATCGCATCTTCTTCTGTGTGCTTGCGATGGCTGTTTTCTGGGCGTGTCTCTGCTGATTCAGTGCGATCCGCGGTCGGCTCAGTCTTCTCTCCGCCCGTGCAAACCTAAATTTTCCATCGCTACCGAAGTACTTCGTCCTCTCGTCGCCCTCAACTGTCCTCGTCACTCCTGATCCTGATAGGTTCCCTATTTCTTTGACTAGCCTTGCCATACTAACACTTCAATGTAAACAGAAAACACTGGCTGAAAAGACACAGTACACACTACATATATGCCCCTAAATGCTTCGTTTTATCGTGTCTAGGGTTCTCCTTTGCTTGTCGATTTTAATCGAGTCGCTGCCCCCGTAGGGCGCCAAAAATCTAACGATATCCGCCTACACCCCAACTTACCACTTCACAGTAGCAGGCATGAACCGTAAGGCAGGTTGTCAAGATTTTGCTCGTGAAGCGAGCTTTTAAAAATCTAGGGCAGGATCTTCAGGGTGCGAGAAAGGTTTGAACCCTTGACACAATAAAATCACACAAATTGCACCAAACGAGCGTATAATTTACCAATAACTTTTAGTGGCAATAAGTTAATGACAAACCAACGATATAGAATCACACTTTTTACAAAGAATAATCAAAACACAAATAGTAACTTTACAAACACACTCATGTGATGAACACATAATTTACTTCAAGATTGATACTCTGCACGTAATTAACCCTAAACTACACTGGGAATTCCCTTGGAAAATTAATTATATCTAAATTTGTGCTATCCTAATAACATTGCACATGAAATCAAAAATCCAATTTACAATATCTCGTTTCAAGATATTACATGTAAGAAGCAAAAGTGTACAAGTGCACTACTCTAATTTACAATTTAACTGTGTCTGAAAATAGCGAAATAATAAATGTCCTAAGTAGAATGTTTTTTTTTAGGCAGGCAATAGCGCATCAAAACGTCTCCTACTATAATGCGTAATTTGTTGTGCCACCCGTGGTCTCACAATTCTTAACACTTCCTATACTAGTTTTCTCCCTGCCGACGTGAACTTGCCTATTTTCTGCGGATCCTAACTGTTACCTCGTGGACTTCCTAAAATTTGGCCTTGATGCTCGTGCGCTGGTCGCTCGCGGTGAGCCGCTCGGTCCAACCTCTGCGTTGTAAGAGAGACGGGATTCGCCCTGCCGTCTGCGTTGCCTTCTTGCGTCCTCTTCCGTCTTCTTCGTTTTCGATCCGTCTTCTTCCTCGTGCCCCAAGTCTCGGCCTTTCTTCTTCTCGTCTGCTACCGGCGCCTCTGACTACGCCCACGTGCGAAAAATGTCTCTTGCACTTTAACCGAATACTCGTGCAAGTTCTCGCTCGTTGCTACTTTTACTTGACAAGCTAGAACTTTTAATGTTTCCCTCACAACGGGTAATTTTACTTCCCGTGTTGTTAATGAAGAACACTACTAATTGCACTATCTCTCGACGACTAGCTAGAACGTTCTGTTCGACGCCGATACTCTACCTAGTAGTCGTTTGCAGCGGAAAACAATATCTAAACTAAAATGTTTAACGAAAGTTGTTGACTTCGGCGAACGGTGATCAATAGAGCAGTTGCTTACTCGACGCGTGGTGACAAGAAAAGAGGCTTTTCCGCTTTGCGGGTTCGCGTATTTATGGTGCGGCGCCTGGGGAACATTTTCCGTGATGGGGGGGGGGGGGTTTGCTTCCCTCTTTCAACCCTTTCACAAAGAAAAACATAGCTCGCTAGTTCGCTTCGTTTAGTACGGCGCAACGCGATACCAGGCCGCGCGTTTAAGCTACCTGCTGCCTTACCGCCTTATTTATCACTCGCTGTTTCCCGTAGTGTTCACACCTGAGACGGTGGTGTTATGGGGTTGCACAATCCCATAACGCCACAATATAATATATATATATATATATATATTATAATTATATATATATATAATATATATATATTATATATATTCGAAATTTTGAAGAAATAAAAAGGATATGGAAACGGCATTGATGTTTTCCAGCTGAAAAACTCTCTTGGGACTATTATTTCTGTCTCTTGTAGCAGTTCTCTGGGTTTATCGGCATTAGTGGTAGTGGATTAATCCACTATCCAAGAGACATTGGGAGAGTTTTTAACGCAATGTCGGGTCTATTGCATGTTTCAAACTCCGTTCCTTATAATGCACGTGTATTGCATACACGTTTGTATCATTGTCTAATCTTAGGGCATGTCTACTAACACTACGGCAGTCTCAGTGTACCACTATGCCGCAGGTTGATCCGCCTGCAGCGCCGAATATACGTGGCCAACAACGCCCTTTCATTTTTCTCCCTGCAAAATTGGAACTTCGCGAACAACCGCTTCCTGGATATGGAGAAGCGGCTGAGACCAGAGGACCGAGAGGGATTCTGCTACCAATTGGAGAACATCATACCTGAGGCCTTCTTCAGGGAAGCGATGCGCGGCATGCGCCGCTACCTCATGAAGGAACCCGACAGCAATCTCCCGCAAGCCATTCGCGCTTACAAGAGGTATGTCCTGAAGGCATGATTGAAAGAACAAATGAAATTAATGAACGAATGTTAGGGACGATCATGAATGAAATGTAGATGAATGAAATGTATGATGAAATATATGAATGAAGATGTGAAATAATTAATGGTAAAGACCGCTCCCCTAGAGACCATTCCCAATTAACTTCCTCATACTCCGCCTAGGCCCGTATTAGTGTTTTGTGCCAAGTACCTTTAAAACAAAGCTGCAGAAGATTTCTCACACGTCTTCACCTAAAGGTGAAGACAAGAAGAAAAAAAATATCGACATAACGTTGCTTCGTTTCTCTGGTAAGCAATGGCAAAGTGACGATGAAAGCATACAAACTTAATTTTTTATTGCTATGAACAGGTAAAACAGCCCAGAAACATTTATCTCTAGTCCATTTTTTACTTTATCGGTTTCCAGTTATACCTACATATCTTATCACAAATAACACAAACGTACCCTCGGAGTAAATATTTTACTCCAGAAATGGTAAAAATTGCACAGATTGTAAAGAAATACACTTTTGATTACAGTTTACTTACTTAATCTTCTCGGCATGCGTATTTCATTGTCAGTTGCCAAGGCTGTTGCGAAACTAACAATTTTAAGATAACGTGTGTCGTATTGCTAACCGCACACCGGTTGAAGTGTAGTACTAAAATGGCAATGAATTGACGTTATGAATCTAGTTAATATGTAATAGTCCCGCGACATCGTATGCACACGTGAATCACGGTCGTATGAACGTTAATAATTTGAGCTGCAGCTGTGTGCCCAGTCGCTGACCGTTGGCCTCTCCCTTGAGGCAATTTAAATATGAACATTTTAAGTCAATCACAAATCAAATATATTATTCGTAAATTCATGTAACCAGAATCAGTCGTCAAATATTACCGTCTCCACTTTCGCGGATATATTTCTGTATACTTGAAGACCACCAATTATTGTAGAGTACCTTCCCGAAGATATTTCTAACTTTCAATATCTTGAAGTCGCTGTTGAGTTGTAAAACCAGAAATTCATGTTAATATTCCAGGCGTATCTTCGGCGACCATTCTTTAGGAAACACTCTCCTGTCTCCCTTTAACACACGTGCGTCCGTGGTAACCAAAGCTACATCTCTCGCATATCCTTTTCCTGGGGATTGTACCACTAAAAAATATATTTTCTCCTCGTAACAATTGAAATTAGTAGACAATATGAAAGACGAAAATATTTATAATGGTCCCTGGAAGAAAAAATATTAACTTTGAGAGCCTGTTTTATAAATACAAAATTTTATGTAAACCCCGAATGCCGGTGACTGCAAGTTACTTTGGCAATGTATTGGACAGACTCAGGGTCATTTTATGTTAATCATTTGGGCGGAAGGCTCGTTGTGAAACTGGCCACGAGTGTCCAACTAGTAACTTATTTTCTTAAAGCACGATTTGTAAAATACAATGCATTTCGAATCGTAGGTATTCGTTGTACATTTTTACAATAATACTCTAGAACTGTTATGTTGGCTAAATCAATTCACACTTAATTTTTAAAGTCCATGAGGTAGGTACTGTGACAGCAAAAGTGGCATCGATTCCTGGTATGTAAACTATATTTTCACATATTGACCACACCAAATATGTATTAACCTATCAAACAATGGCAAACGATTATGTGACACGACAAATTACAATATGTTCTAACGACTAGCAACGATGTTCAATTCTCCCACGTTATCGAAGAAAAAAGTTCCTGCTGACTTGTATTGCCACGGAAGGGTTTAATTTAATATTAAAGATATTACATTGTATTCTACTATTCATATTAATGAGTTTTTAAAATAAAAATGTGATATTTTGTCCCTTCTTTCTAATGGAATACCTCTGGATTTTAATCAATTTTTAAAGAAACTTCCTCTTTCCCTATTTTTCTTCTAAATTCCTTTTGCTGTGCAAAAAAAGTGAAGAAACTGAACAGTAATACTATGTTTAACATTTGTGATGTAATACTTACAGAAGTATTAACTGCAACCCTAAATACTAATTTCGTTATCTCTGTACAGGAAACATTTAATTCATCTGATCCTGAAGACACTGTTTTATGCCACGATTGCCTGGATAATTTTATCCAAGCTCCACTTTCTGCTGTTTGCGAAATGATGCAGGGGCTTCCAAAAAAAAAATTAACTACATCACAAGTCCACAATATAAACAGGAATGCCCATAGCTTGTTTCTTTAAAAAATAATTTTTCAGAATAACTTATATTTTCAGAATAAAATATTGAATATACAGTGTGCGTATAGTATGCGGTGTGCAAATATTGAATATACAGTATTAAGTGCGATGGTATGTAATCTACATCTGTGACATTAATAAATATTATAATATTTTCTTGTCTACCCTTATTCTTCACCCTTGTTCCTGGTGGTAAAAAGAGATATACTCCACCAAACATAAGAGTTGTCATTTTAAATTACATAGTGGTATGAGACAAATGACTCACTCTTAAGGGTTGATAGCTTAAAGATTAAATAAGTAAAGTGTGAAATTTTTAATTAATACTGCTCGAATAATTGAAAATTATGTATCTGCAATCAAATGTAAATTAAAAAAAACAAAAACTTTTAATTGTGAATTATTAATTCATTTTAATTTACAAATTAATTTACTATAGTATTTGTTAAGCTGATCAGAAGCTACTTCAGGCTAGCCAGTTTTCGCCTTAAGATTGCTCTAAAAGTGACAGACATTATCATTATACATCAATTAAAATATTAATTCCTTTGACACTTGCAGAGTTGTGACACTAGTGCATCCAATTAGAAGCTTGAATGTCACCATGTTGGCGTTCAGTCACTTGATTGGATGCCAGCACGACTACCCACTAAACGACTTAATATTTTAATGGAAGTATATAGAAGCAAGCAAGAGAAGAAGAATACATAGCTGTACATAAAAGATTGGAGAAAATTATAGCTGGGAGCAATTGATGAGAGAATAGCATGTCTCGATCTTGTACCAAGAGGACGCAATGTTTTCATTATAAGAATTTATGTTCCAACTGACGATACAAGTGTTGCAGAGAAAGATATGTTTTTAGAGAAACTGCCTATGCTGTGGAATTCTATTCACAATCGCAAAAAAGTGGTGCATCTTGGTGATTTTAGTAGAAGACTTGGAAAACAAGTGGTGCATAATGTTGTGGGGTGATATGGTGAAAATGTATTAAATGACTACGGAGAAAGACTTATAGAGACATTTTAACTATATGATCTTAAAATACTGAATGGCTATTTTCCACTTAAAGAAATACATAAATTCACATGGACCCAGCACACTAGAAAACTGCAATCAGTAATTGACTAAATAACTACTAAACAACAGTCATCAATAAAGTGGAGCAATGTTTGGGTTCAAAGAGGTGCTTCCTGTGGATCAGATCAATATTTACTAAAATATTGTGTATAAACCTTACTTCAAAAGTTATGGAAACACACAACCAAATTCAAATGGTTTTCAAAAAATAGAGTCAGATATGGCCAAGATACAATATTGAAACCCTTCAAGATGATTCCGTTATGTTTTTGTACAAATTGCGCATGGCAGAAAAATTAAAGTATACCCCAATAGGAAATACTGAAGACAATTACCAATTTCCAGAAAAATGCAATCATGAAGCAGCTAAAGAATCTTTGGGAGAGAAGGGAAAATGTGAATATACACAAAAAGTCTTGTGGTGGACAAAAGTAATAAAGAACCTGGTTGAAGAAAAGAAAAAATTATATTTGAGATGGCTTTCCACAAAGGATTTAGAAGAGAAGTGAATATAACAGAATGAAGTATTTGGCCAAGAAAGAAGTGAAGGAGGCAAAAAATGTATTCTGGGAACAAAAATGTGACAGCTTAGACAAGTGCATTGGTAACACCAAATCTAGAGAGGCATGAAAAATTTTCCATTCCATGAAATTGAATACAACCCAAGACCCTGACTCAAATGGTATTGAAAAATGGCAAAAATACTAAGAAAATCTTTTGACAGAAAATAGAACTAAATTTCAGGGAATAAATTATGAACCACTGCACATAAATTCATTCACACCAGATGCAACTTTGGAAGAGGTTAAAAAAAGTGTTAAAAAACATGAAAAATAATAAAGCACCTAGGCCTGGAAGAATATCCATATCCATTTCACATGATCTTATTGTAAGTTTGGAATTAATTTTTGAAACATTCAACAGCATTTTAAAAGGAGGTAAAATACCTGAAATATGGAAATTGGCCTATTCAAATTCAATTTACAATAAAAGGCTGTAAATAAGATTGTAATAATAATAGAGGGATAAGTGTGACTTCATCTTTGGTTAGACTGTATGGATGTATGCTAAAGAATAGAATTGAAATGCAAACATCAGACTCAGAAGAGTAAAGTAGTTTTAGACCAGAAAGATCCTGTATTGACAATATTTACTGCCTGTAACATCTGATGGAAAAAACAATTGAATAAGAAATAGAACTTCACATAATTTTCATTGATTGCAAAAAGGCTTATGAGTATGTACCAGTAAAAGAAGTATGGGGGGAAATGGAAGAAAAAGGAATATCAACATCATATGTAAATGCAGTTAAATAAACTTTATAAAGATAACAAAAGTCAAGTAAAAGTGGGAAAATATCTTTCAGACAACTTCCCAGTAAATGAAGAATTGCGGCAAGACTGCTGCTTATCTCTAACCCTGTTTAAGATATGCATTGATGAAGCCCTAAAGGAATGGAAAAGAAAGTCCAGAAGCATGGGTAAGAAAATAGGTGATGAAACATTGCTTAGTCTACTATTGAGGTGACATTGGTTGAAGGTGAAGATGATGTAATTTATATGTTCAGAAAATTAGTAGAAGAGAATGGGGACTGGAAATAAATGTACAAAAGACTGAATATATAGTGGTGGTGGGAGGTATGCCCTATGTTTTAGAGAGTAGTACATGAATAATTAAAGGTAATACACAATATAAGTATTTGGGAGTCACACTAACAGCAGAAGGTAGAGATGAACAGGATGTGAAAAATAAAAATATAAAGAAAAAAATAGCCACAAAACAGTTGAATCCAGGTCTATGGAACTCAATTATGTCAATGAAGACAAAGAAATGCATATATAGCTCTATCATAGAGAGTACCACACAATTGAAGCTAATTTTTTCTTTCGCTCTTTTGTAGTATATAGTAGTAGTAAATACTACTATAGTATATCGTAGTATATGTAGTATATAGTAATAGTAAATACAGTAGTACTAATGATTGAACCCATTATCTCTATTAATTTTCATTTATTGAGAGATAAATAGAGAATGAGTTATGTTGCTGGAATATTTTTAATTAAAATTAATTTATGAAACTAATGTAACCTCTGTTAAAACAAGTCATGCCAACAGAAATGTCTTATTTTCATGAATATATAAGCGTGGTAATTTGTTTATTTCATTGCAATGATTTTTATGACCTTAATGAAAACAGACTCAACAACAACAATGCTGTAATGCTTTTACAATAATTTATTTCTTTTGACATTATGACCCTAGTTTTTCAAAAATTTAAAAATGCAACAAATGTTGAATTAAAATGATGCAGAATAACATAAAGTAGTAAAACATATCCAGTAAAGCATTGCTCATAATAATAATGATGATACACAACCAATTCTCTGATGGTTCAGAGTGTCTGCCCAGATGTCGGCCTGAATATTTTGAGATCCTTAGCGAACAAGATAGCAGATCCTGTTTTAGGTTAAGGAAGCGTAGGGTTAGCAAAGCTATGTTTTTGATAGAACAAAAAAAAAAGATTTGTGAATACTGACTTATATTTCTATAATGCCCTGGTAAAGTAATAGTTCCATTACATTAATTTTATGTCAAAAGAAATTTATACTTTGTGTGTTGTTAGCAATTTTGAAGTATCACCAATGAACCAACTTCTAACTCTGTGTTATTTTGCAGCAGGGTAATTTTTTATCATAATTTAAGTCTTCATTGAGATGAGCAATCTACTGCTTCAAGTCTAGTGGGTTTGTGAAGCTTCTTAGGGATATAGAAATCATCCAAGAAGGTTTTTATGAAATTGCTAGATTTTCTAGAGTTCTCGCAGCAATAGATTGCACATCTGTTCCTATATAACCAACTGGTTTTATGTAACATACATTTCATCATAGTTTAAGAGTAGATCTCAAAAATATAATTTGCAGGAGAATGGTTTTATGCTGAGTGGAGCCGATTTATAGTGTTCTACACTACTTAGTGACTGTCTTGTGAACAATCTTTATGAAATGTTTCTTAATAAAATAATTAAACACAAGTACCTTAGTCATTCCTTTTTAACAATCAATGACTTTTTTTTTCCTTCAAAAGAAATCTTGATTGTCCAACCCTGATTCAATGTGTCTATTCCACTCGTCAACAATGTTAGACAGGCTTAGCTGACATGATCCATCTGAAAATATAAAAAAAAGTCAACAAATGTGGCAATAGTGAATAAAATAAAAGTTATGTAAAAATAATAAATGAGATGTATTAAAAAATCAAGTATAGGTGAAAAAATATTTAAGGAATAAGTAGAAACTATATAAAGAGATGGGAGAAAACTTGCCAAAACATATTAATATCAGCAGATATTTTTACAACAAAATATGACTATATATACAATTCTATCACAAAGAAAAAGTCTTATCACAAAAAATAATAAATAATAATTCCCATCGTTAGAACATACCTATATATTCTCACTTTAAAGAGAGATAGGTGCTAAGAAGTAAGAGCAGATCATAAAAATAAACCTTATTATTTTGAATAGACAACCATGAAAGCAAGTAAAGAAGAATAAACATAGATGGAAGGAACAGATGTAAACATACACCAATAAATTTATAAACGTCCTTACCACTTTGTGATATTTGTACATCTATTTAATGAACTACCACATTGTAGAAAACAGCCCTAAATTCAGTCATCACAGACAATCTACTAATCTCAATAAAACTTTAGATACCTTATTGTATTCAACCAATATCAGAACAAATTGATCAAGTCTTGTGAAAATTGTAATATTCTTAATGGCATATGACAATATTCTATAATTATATTGTGTATTATATATAATATGTGATGCCATGTTCGGATATATATGTTATGAAATGATGGATGAAATGATAATTTTCTAAGCACTCGCTATAAATTGGTGGTTGCTAACAATCTTATTTATTGATGGGACTAAGTAAAAGTAAAGAAAAAAATTATAAAGGGAATTGGAACCTAACCCAACGTATAAAAATATATATTTTTACTATTTTTATTTTAGAAAGAACATTGACATACAGGTTTGTGAAATGATTTTTTTCTAACATGGAATTAATAGGCTTGTGTTTTTATCTGTAGTGTTTCTTAGAACATTCTACAATATTTTCTGTTTTTTTTTCCAAA